GCCCAGGGAGGTCGCGGGCGGAGGGGTCGCGAGAGCTCCCCGCGCCTGCAGCTCCACCGGCCCCTTCAGCTGGGATGTTCCCCAATGGCACCGCCTCCTCTCCTTCCTCCTCTCCTAGCCCCAGCCCGGGCAGCTGCGGTGAAGGGGGCTGCAGCAGGGGCCCCGGGGCCGGCGCTACGGACGGCATGGAGGAGCCTGGGCGAAACGCGTCCCAGAACGGGACCTTAAGCGAGGGCCACGGCAGCGCCATCCTCATCTCCTTCATCTACTCCGTGGTGTGCCTGGTGGGGCTGTGCGGGAACTCCATGGTCATCTACGTGATCCTGCGCTATGCCAAGATGAAGACGGCCACCAACATCTACATCCTAAACCTGGCCATCGCCGACGAGCTGCTCATGCTCAGCGTGCCCTTCCTGGTCACCTCCACCCTGCTGCGCCACTGGCCCTTCGGCGCCCTGCTCTGCCGCCTCGTGCTCAGCGTGGACGCGGTCAACATGTTCACCAGCATCTACTGTCTGACTGTGCTCAGCGTGGACCGCTACGTGGCCGTGGTGCACCCCATCAAAGCAGCCCGCTACCGTCGCCCCACCGTGGCCAAGGTGGTGAACTTGGGGGTGTGGGTGCTGTCTCTGCTTGTCATCCTGCCCATCGTGGTTTTCTCGCGCACCGCGGCCAACAGCGACGGCACGGTGGCCTGCAACATGCTCATGCCCGAGCCTGCCCAGCGCTGGCTCGTGGGCTTCGTGCTGTACACGTTTCTCATGGGCTTCCTGCTCCCCGTCGGAGCCATCTGCCTGTGCTACGTTCTCATCATAGCCAAGATGCGCATGGTGGCCCTCAAGGCCGGTTGGCAGCAGCGCAAGCGCTCGGAACGCAAGATCACTCTGATGGTGATGATGGTGGTGATGGTGTTTGTCATCTGCTGGATGCCTTTCTATGTGGTGCAGCTGGTCAACGTGTTCGCTGAGCAGGACGATGCCACGGTGAGCCAACTGTCGGTCATCCTGGGCTACGCCAACAGCTGCGCTAACCCCATCCTCTACGGCTTTCTCTCGGACAACTTCAAGCGCTCTTTCCAGCGCATCCTGTGCCTCAGCTGGATGGACAACGCAGCGGAGGAGCCCGTCGACTACTATGCCACAGCCCTCAAGAGCCGCGCCTACAGCGTGGAAGACTTCCAGCCTGAGAACCTGGAATCCGGAGGCGTCTTTCGTAATGGCACCTGCACTTCCCGGGTCACTACGCTTTGAGCGCGGGCCGGCGCCAGGAAGCTGGAGAAAGACCGGGTGGGAGGCGCAGTGGAAAGCGAGGTTATCTGGGCCGCCTCCGGGGGCGGTGGGTGTGGGTACCCTGGGGCTAGGGCCCTAGGAAGGCCTCTCAAAGACCGAGGTAGAATCCAGAGCTCTGCTTATAAATCGGGAAGTCTTTCTGAGCACTTTTTTCTCAGGCTCCCACTTTTGTCCTTTCTCCTCTCGGCTGCGCCCACTCTTCAGAATCCCTCTGAGCTCCACACCTGTCAATCCTTCTTTCCCCACCGTCCCACCGCCAGTGTAGATCAGCAACTCGGCCCCACCACCTCGGTCCTGTCCGCATCCCCTCCAGCTGTTATTTCTGTTTGTTTAAACTGAGCCAAGATTGTAGGCACGAGGTTCCCTCCGGGTGGGTGGGTTCCCAGCTCGCCCCCAGACCTGGCCTGGCGCTGGCTCAGGCCTCCTTGGCCAGACTCTGCCTGGTGTTCCTCAGAGAGTGGAGAACTACTGCTTTCCTTTTGAGGAGTTTTACTTTAAGGCAAGTCGACTTCACCCTGAACTAGGCAGACTTAAACTGTGAGAGAGGACCCACTTAGAAATGAGCTGGGCATCCTTTTTCACTGGGACCCTCCACAGCTCCCACTCCACCCTGAGCAGAGCTGGAGGCAGAGGGGTCTTGTGGTTCCTACCCCAGGCAGCCTCTATGCAGGCCCCACCCCCTCACCCCCTTTGGAGCAAAAAGGAGCTTGAGAACAAGCCTTTGTAGAAGATCCCTGGGTTGGAGAGTGTGCCATAGAGGCCACCCTCCTTCTTGGCTCCCAGTTTCAAAATTCCTTTCTCCTTGGCCTTGGGGTCAAGCTGGGCAGGGGCAGGGCACTTTCCTAGACTGCTACCCTGAAGCAAAGCAGCTCCCTCCCCAAATTTATGGAGGAGTCAACCTGACCTAAGAATCACAGCACACTGGATTTCCTGCTCCCCTTAGGTCTCTAGAGGCAGTGGGGCAGAGGTCTAGGATAACAACTTAGAGCCTTGGTCAAAGGTGGCCATGTGGCCGCAGCCCGCAGGCTGGAGTGCAGTCCACCTGGCCTGTGAGGGCTGCTCCCTTTCAAGTGGTGCCTAATAAGTTATTTTCTTGTTTAAATATTTATTTATTTATTTGTGGTGTTGGGAAATGTGTTTCTGCTTTCCTTTTCTGCCCTTGCCTAGATCTGGGAGTTTGTTTTCTTGGGAACTCCAGGGATTAGAGTGGAGCGAATGGAGGACACTTTCTCCCTACTTCAAGTTCTCCTCAAATCCTTCACTCTGCTGGACTCTCTTTTCTGATCCTCTCCTCTAGTATTTCTATTTTCTTGGTACCCAGTGAAATTTGGAGATTTTTCATATTTTTTCTTACTGTAGCTGCTTGTCTTATAATACTAATAAATAAATGACAGTGGGGGCAGCTAGCTTCCTTTCCATGCACAGTGAAAAGCTCCAAACTCCTGGCTTTCCAGGAAACATACATAGGGAAAGCACCACCTTATATGTGATTTTAGTGTGTGTGTGTGTGTGTGTGTGTGTGTGCGTGTGTGTGTGTGTTTGTGGATATGTGTGTGTTTACTCATATTTCATTTGTTTATTTGGTCCCATTGTCATGAGTCCATGAAACAATTCTAAGTAGAGCCACTAACAGTGATAGATGTGATTCTGGCTGGAAAACTTTCAGGTTTTGAGGTACAAGTAACACTCAACCTGGAACTGCGAAATCTAGTTCAGAGACTTTAATCACTGCTAAGGATGTCCCTACTTCTTTTAGGTTCCAGCAGAAATGATTCTTGCAATCCAGTTTATATTGCCACTACTTGTTGAGAACATCAGAAATGAAATGATTTGTGTTTTTGTTTAATCTTGCCAGCTACATTGGAAATCTGAGCAGGGCAAGCAGCAACAATTTTACTTCTTTGTATTTCTTGTGTTGCTTAGTATACTGGCTTGTACATAGTATGCACTAGATACATGTTTGTTGTTTGAAGTTTGAAATAAGCTAGAGTGTATTACAGTGATCTGGAGATAATAATCTGGGATTCTCAGGTTCCCTTGCTGACATGATACACAATGGTTGCACTTACTCTAGAAAAAGGTGTTTCCTGTATATTTACTTCAACATTGTGCTTTTCTAAAAGCAGTAAACAAGAATTAAATGTCTCTAATGTTTAATTTAAACTAATGAACAAATATGCTTTTGATCAGAAATCAGAAAGTTTAGATCTGTCCCTTAATAATACTATATATTATTACTCTTTTGGAAAATAGATTTTTAATGTTTAAGAACAGTGGAATTTACAAATTGAAATATTGATCATCATACTATTAACAGGATATAAATCTCGTGCTTTTAACCTGTTATTGTAATACTAACTAAATAAACAGATGTATGATGCTATTGCAAGTCCTCTGACTGGCGCTTGAATTTTACAATTGTAATGAATTACTTGAAACATGCACACACACACACACACACACACACACACACACACACACACACCAAGGCTTGATTTCAGATTATCTTTGGAAATTTTACCAATATTGCAATTATTTTCTTTAAAGAAAATTCTGTTAATTCAAAGAGGGAGAGAGAGAGGAGGGAAACAGTTGAGTCAGTAAGAATAAGAAACAATGTCCTCCTTTGCACTCTGTTGTCACCAAACCAAGTAGATAATATCTCTATCACTCACAGATTAAATTACTGTCTGCCCTCATTTATGACCTTAGACTGTGTTGTTGGAGCTAAGTAATTGCTGATTTACATCTGGAGAAAAGATAATGATATGGAAAAATTATTTCTTAAAAGTGTTGTGGAGTGTAGTGGTTACAAGAGATGGGAAAATTGGATTTCAATGTAAGTAACACAAGGGAAGAAGGAGCTACTCTATGCTTTGTTCAATGATGGCTATTTCCATCCTGGAAGAATGTAAGAAGACACTAGGGAAGAATTTTTGAAAGACTTTAATTTTTACAGTAGTTTTATTTTCACAGCAAAATGAACAGAAAGAGGTATTTCCCAAGTAGATGACAGCAGCAGTAATTCTAGGACCAGAGTGCGATGGGGGGGCTTCCAATGCTCCATAACTCCGAGCTTAATAGAGTGCTACCCATTATCTCAATGTGACATGGATGGCTGAACTGCAGTCTTTTTATGATTTTTAAAAAGCTGTAGCAAAGTGAGTGACAAATGGAAAATTAGACTTCCAACCTAGCTGTGGCGAAGAGAACAATTTCAAAATTTTGTTTTATTTTATTTTATTTTATTTATTTATTTAGTGCTAGGGATAGAACCCAGGGCTTTGTCCATTCTAAGCATATGTCTATCACTGAGCTACAACTTCAACCTCTACATTTTGTTATTTTTGATTTTATGAATCTAAAACATTATTCCAAGTACCTTCCAACTGGTTAGCTGAGAGGAAAAAAAAAGAAGTAACACACTTTATAACACCCAACTTAGCCCTTTGCTTATTTATTTATTGAGTTGTGCAGGGGATCAGACCCAGGGCCTCTTGCATGCTAGGCAAGTACTCTATCTCTGAGCTACCCCTCTAGCCCTTGCACTAATAATTTCAATAGCTATGATTTTTAATTTCAAAACTTCATTTCCACATTTCCATAAGTTTGAACAATCTCTCACCTGGCTTCCTCTTGCTCCTTTGTCATCTGTACAATGACTTTGAAAGGAAAGTGAGGAGATTTTGCACATCCTGGTGGAGAAAGGAATTAGAGGAGTCCTTGGGAGAACAACTTCTCTGTCTTTTGCTCTCTGAGACCAGGTCACTTGTGGGTCTGGCTCCTTCCTGGGTGTCATTTGATGAAACTACAGCAGCCGGGGCCGGTGACAGCACTTCTCATTTTGGTGAGGGCAGCACCTTGGCTCCTGGTGACTTCCTGCTTCTGTGTCTTCCAAAGTCTTCAGACAGCCCACCAGCCTACCCCATTCTCTGCCAAAGAGTCACTGCTGCCTGCTACTGCAGCCCTTGGTGAGCCTTTGAAATTTAAAGTAGCTTGGATTGGTGGCCCTCAGGATCTCCTCTCTCTGATCTTGTCACCCTCCTTTTATGTGGCTGTCTGTAGTGCATCTCTCTCTTTAGCGTTGCCAACTTCACTTAGTAAAACTTTTCACACTTTCCGTATCACCATTACCCTAGAGGAAAACCACAGAAGTTGAGTACTTCAGTCTTAGCTCTTCATATGCTATAGCAGGAACAATGTATTTAGCAAATCCTCACCTCCTAACCAAACACACACACACCAAACCTGCACACATGCCTGATTTCCCTGTATTTTTACATTGAAAACAAGTCTCCTATCCTAAGAGCATGATTCACATTTCAGAGGGAGAAACTGCCAGGAAGCGTGATTTATAGAGGAAGTTATAATGTGTCAGTTTAGTATGTGTGAACCATTATCTCACTTATAAGCGACCTCTGGGTTCCCAGAGTAGTAGCTCCCAGGCCATCCTCTCACAGGACACCCAAAGGATCATAGTTTTAAAACTTTGAAGCTTTGTTCATTTTAACCATTGTACCAATTGTTGAGTATTTTGCTTTGGCCTGAGACAAATGGCAGGAAGTTCCCCTGGAAAATGGCATGAAAAATGCATTTAAAAAAATTGTAATCTAGTTCAAAACTATGTTAAATAAATTGATTCTATATAAAGCTTCTTTAAAAACTCTTTGGTGTTAGGGTTATGTTTTTGTCACAAGTGGCTCGATCTCTTTTTTAATCCCTAAGTACCAACCACATCAGAGACCTTAGTTATTTCACTGACTTGGTTGAGAGATGTTCACAGTGGTCACTGTTACAGAGGTGAAAACTTACAAATCACAGTTGCAAAGTCTATGCTGCTGATGTCTTGAGCTACACTGAACTGAAGAGAACCTCTTCCACATGTTCAGGTAGATACCATGCTTCTCATCCAATAAATTTCATTTGTTGGCTTTAAATCCAGGAGACAGGTCCTGCACTGTGATGTGCTTTTCCTAGAGGACGGTAAGCACAGAGATGGCATTGCAAGTGATCACCTATTATTTTATTAACTGTCTGGACACAGAGTAGTACAGGGAGCATGTGTGTATGGAGACTGTTAGGAGCAGTCAGATACAGCCCAGCTTCTGATTTCAACTATAAAAGAAAAGGAAGATGTTTCCAAAGCAACGGCAAGGATGAAGAGGGCTGTGAACTGAAGTAACCAGTTCAAACTGAAATAAAATATGTGCTCGTCAAACTATAGGAAGAGAAGACTGTCACCTTGAAAGGAGATGTGAGTTTAAATAAAAGTCTTCTAGTGAAATGTTCACTTTGATAATAAAGTACATTCTTTTCAAAATATATATCAAGCTCAATCTTAGCCAAAAGCTAGAAATACTATACCTATTTAAGGCTGAAACAATAAGCATGCTACCACAGTTATTTGGAGTAATAATAAATGCAAAACAAAAATAAATATCTCTTTATACTAGATTGCCTAAGTCTTCAATTTTTCAGGGAATGAGATACATAAAAGGAAGTGGGAAGTAGAAATGCAATCAGGTAACATTTTACCTCTTCAGAGAAGTTTCACTCTAGCCCTCTCCTCAGTCCTATGTGACAGGAACTTTTACAGATAAAGACACAAGCACTTCCAGCTTTAAGAATTTAAGAAAGTTTTACCTTGTATTGGATTCCACCTGGAAGGCACAATGTTATGTAGAGGACACTGTAGTTCTGACTTTTGCAGGAATAAAATCTATTTTAAAAGTCAACTTAAATTTAAGAGTGGACAACTCAAGAAATAATAGGCTAGCAAGATAATAATGCAGAATAGCACACATGACTTACATGACTGTTTTGGGAAAGGGTGTACTAAATACTGACAAACAGTAGCTCTCAGTGTGATCTTTCTGTCTCTATTACCCTTGAAAAATTAATCTAGTTACTATTATTAGCAATGGCAACATTATATGCAAAATCAATAAGTAAATTAAACATTCTCCTTTATATCAAAGGAGCCACTGTGACTAGCAAACCAAGCAGATAACTGTTTGTCTTTTTCAAAAGACTCTCAAATCTCCCTATGCATAAGCTCTGGCATTTGTGATTAAAACATACGTATACATAACACACAAAGTAATTTAAAAAGTTATTTCTTAGGTAATTATTGGTAAAATGAAACTACCAATGCTTTTTCTCACATTATCTTTTAAAGTTCAATTTCTACTTCTAGCTCAGGACTCTGTGTTTTCTAACTTTTCCCACTTTTCTAGTAAGCATCTCAGAAGAGAGATGTACGATGTGTGTAACTGACAAGGCTTCACATATTATTCTCTTATGCTCAGAAGCAAGATTTTAAAAATAAGAATATCATATCAGAACATTAGAAATCAGTGTCCTTGAAATCACATCGTCTAAGGTAAACATTTCACAAGTGGTCCATAAGCCCTGCATAAGAATCACCAGAGAACTTATAAAAATTTGTATTTAAAGATGTTTTTATTCACTAAGTTTATTGGTACATTTTAGATAGACAATGTGATGACGTTCATCACTGGGAATTTGTACCTGCACAAGACACATCTTGGTTCTTATTTTCCCCCCATTCCCCTGCCCTCTCTTCAACACTTGCGTCTCTCCCTGTTTACAAAGACTCTGTTTCTGTTTTGTCCTTCTTTTGTATTTTTCCTTTCCCCTTTTCCTTTGCCCTGCCCCTCCCACTTCCCCTTTCCTTTGGAGCTTTTCTCCCTATTTCACATTACCTCTTACACATTTCGATCCTTCTTCGTACTTTAAATTTCTCACACCAGAGAAACAATATGGTATTTACACATGAGCATCCTATTTATTGTACTTAAGAGTATGGCCTCAATGTGCACCCACTTAGCTATAAATGTCTCCAGTTTCTCATTCTTTATGACTGAGCAGTACTCCATGTTATAAACAACAACAAAAAAATCTTTTTATCCAGCTGATGGGCATTACAGCTGCACAGTTTGTAATAGCAAAAAATGCGTACCCTTTATACTCTTTCAAAAAACTTGATTCACCAGATCCAAGGAGAAACTGATAATTCAAACATACACAAAATTTGAGAGATAACACTTTGAGGTTTAAGAGAACAGTATTTGCCACCAGCAGACTTGAGTCTGCATTGTTTGTTTTGACATGGAGCAATTTAATCTTTGCGTTGCTTATTACATCAGAGCCCAGCAGGGCTACTGCGATCACATAGTGCATGTCAAAGGCCAAATCACTCAGAGGTTTTATAAATGCTAATGAATGAAAACACAAGTAGTCACATAAGTGAAAAATCGTGAAAAGACCTGGCTTCAGGGTTCACTTGGCACATAGTCCAAAAGAAAGATGTTTTAGTCATTTCTCATCATCTCTAGCTTCTGTTCTGCCATGCTGTCCCCATTTCAGACTAGATATTTCTCTGTAATTAATTATAAGATAGATGTAGAAAGTGTAACATGACATCTTTTCAGGTTCAAATTTCACAGGCAACAGAGCACAGTCTTTTGAGTTGTACCGTCTGAGATCATTTGTTTGTGGAGGCAACTTCCATGGACCTTTCACCGGCCATACATCTCACTGACTGTCACATTTGTGAAGCTCCCATGGAAAATTGCAGTCTACCTTAATGATCTTTCAATGGGATGTTTGCAGCAAGCAGTTCTGAATAATCAAGTACTGTCGCTTTCACGGGCAAAGAGAAGGTTTGAGTATTCCTTGCTGTAAAGTGGTGGTTTCCCCAAAGTCACCGTCCCTCAGATGTGATACAAACCTACTGCTTCATAGCATCCATGTGGCTCAAATTGTATCATCTCTGTGACAATTGGGAGTAAAGGTAACTGATACAAATCATGTTGTTTTCTGGCTGTTCCGTTTGTGATAAAGTCCTTTGTCTCTGACCCTAGATTCTTGCATCTTCTGGTTTCTATGAAACAGCAACAAACCAACTTAGTAGTTTTTAAGGAGGATAAAGCAAATTTGACATCCCAACTGTATCTACCATTAAACTCACTAACAAACCCTAAGGAGCTGCTTAGGCTAGGATGATATACAATGCACTCTTGCACCTAGGAGTGTCAATTTGACCCAGAAGTGGGAAGGTGACAAAGTGGATATCAAGAGGAAAAATGAGATTGTAGCTGTTCATAGTAGATAATAAATGATATGCTATGGGATAAGAATAAATAAACATAAATAAAATAAGACAAGCACTATCTACAACTTCCATGCATATCTAT